CAGGGGCTCAACACGGCCTTCGACCGCTTACGGAGGGTGGTTCCCCAGTGGGGCCAGGATAAAAAGCTGTCCAAGTACGAGACCCTGCAGATGGCGCTGAGCTACATCATGGCTCTGACCCGGATCCTGGCCGAGGCCGAGCGATTCGGCTCGGAGCGGGACTGGGTGGGTCTCCACTGTGAGCACTTCGGCCGCGACCACTACCTCCAGTTCCCAGGCGCGAAGCTGCCTGGCGAGAGCGAGCTGTACAGCCAGAGACTCTTCGGCTTCCAGCCCGAGCCCTTCCAGATGGCCACCTAGGGCGCGCGCCTCCGCGGCGGTGGATGCCCGGCAGCGGGCTCCGAGCCGCGGCCCTGCCCCAAGTAGCCCAGAAGCCTCCGGCAGCCCCGGATTCTAAGAATGCGTTCCTCGAGGAAAATCAGTCAATTCTCAGATTACCTTTATTTGCATCATCAGACCTATGGACGCAATAATTTAATTGCCTTTCTTTTCCCCTCCTCCTATTTTGTAGATTTCATTAATGGATCTTGTGAATGGGTTGATTGCTGTGGAAATAATGCCCCCTTTCCCCTTTTCTGGGCTACTCTGGGGGAAAACAATCTTAGGAAAAAAAAATAGGATTAGGCTATTCTGTTCCAGTCCTCAGAGAAATAATCACTTTCTTAAACTTTGTGAGTTTGTCCTGTTCAGGTGAAGTTACGGTATCCATTACTTGTGTTTGCTCACAATAGAGCTACCTTCCTGTTGTGTAAATGCGTTTTTGCTTTAGTGCATTGTGTGTGCATGCATGAAGTAGAAACACTTTTTTTTTTCGGGGTACAGTACATGGGTATCGGTGCTCTGTATTTTTTTAAACTGTGTACACATTATTAAATATAGATTTTATAAAATATAAATAAAAACGTGGATTTGTTTTTCATGCTAACTACCTTGCCAGTTTCCTGATGGCGCTAAAGAACTCTTTGGAGGTGATGATATAGAATGCTTCCCTGAGCAAAGTTGTGGAATGTTTAAACCTAATACGACCAATAAACGAATGTGCTGCTTTGTAGTACTTCCTCAAAAAGCTGATGAGAGTACATGTAATTAATTTGAACATTTTCTCTGTCAACTTGTAAATTTTTTGTTGATTTTTTAAAAGATTAAAGTGAAATATTTAGCTTTTAAGTAACTAGATACACAGTTCCTCAATATTTTATTACCCACATTAAGCAGATTACTAAGTCCTTACAAGTACCCAAATGTATGTAGTTATATGTATACAGTAATGTATATATACACATATATACAGGAATACGCACATGTATTTCTAAAACTAACACATAAATAAAAAATATTGCCTTTGGAAGTGATTTTCTTTTTTTTTTTAAGACAGAATCTCGCTCTGTCGCCCAGGCTGGAGTGCAGTGGCGCGATCTCGGCTCACTGCAAGCTCCGCCTCCCGGGTCCACGCCTCCCGAGTAGCTGGGACTACAGGCGCCCGCCACCATGCCCGGCTAATTTTTTTTTTATTTTTATTTTTTGGTATTTTTAGTAGAGACAGGGTTTCACCGTGTTAGCCAGGATGGTCTCGATCTCCTGACCTTGTGATCTGCCCGCCTTGGCCTCCCAAAGTGCTAGGATTACAGGCATGAGCCACTGCGCCCGGCAGGAAGTGATTTCCTTTTAATCAGTACAAGTTGGACAATGAGGGCTTCACTACCATCAAGACCAATCAAAATGGGAGCAAAATAATAAACATGGTATTGATCTGAATTACTTTTATTAATTTGCTTAACCATTGCATGAATAAACCAAGCCCTTCATGTAAAGAGTGACTTGGTGAAGAGTGGTACATGCATTTGGGAGAATGTCTTACTCATAATTAGGAAAAGCAGGACTCTAAGTTATCTATGCATTTGGAATTTGTCTTGTCACAAGTCAACAAAAAACACCAATCACTCCCAAAACTCTTTTATTTTGGATTCCAAAGTCTAATCTCAGACACAGCTGCCTCTTCGCAGTTTATCTACAGACTTTATTACAATTTTTATTTTCTTAGTTATCCCTATCAAAATCCATTTGGTTTGTAATGAGGGAAAGTGTCTTCCCCAGCCCATACCTACATTTACACTTAAAAAAATCACAAGTGGGCCAGGCGCAGTGGCTCATGACTGTAATCTCAGTACTTTGGGAGGCCGAGGCAGGTGGATCACCTGAGGTTAGAAGTTCGAGACCAGCCTGACCAACATGATGAAACCCTATCTCTACTAAAAATACAAAATTAGCCAGGCGTGGTGGCATATGCCGCTAATCCCAGCTACTCGGTAAGCTGAGGTAGGAGAATCGCTTGAACCTAGGAAGTGGAGGTTGCAGTGAGCCGAATTGTGCCATTACACTCCAGCCTTGGCAATAAGAGCAAAACTCCGTCTAAAAAAAAAAAAAATCACAAGTGTATTTTCAGAAGCCCTTAGGGAGTTTGAAGCTGCATTTCCCTTTCCAGGTGATATCTGTTAATAAGAAACAGAGGAGAGCTCAGAACTTTGCTTCCTGCAAATTTGATAGTAAACTGAAAATTTAGAAACTGCAAATTCGATAGTGAAATGTTTAACCTCTTGACTTCAACAACTCTTAAAAGACGCTGTGTAATCTAGCAGACAAACAACACAATTCTAGAAGTGATGATGCCAGGACCCCTTTCTAGTCACAACTCCACTCTGCAGTGTGCACTTGGGTCAATAGCAAGATTCAAGGCATTTGCCTTCCTCGCTATTAGGGCACAATAGTCTACTTACTCAGATCTCCTGAAAAGCTTCATTAATAACTCCAGTAAGTGTGCAGAGTTTGAGAATGAGCAAAATCGGTGCTTTTGTTAGAGAACATCTCAAAAATATATTAAGATCAGTAGTCATTTTCCAGTTAGGGTGTCACATCTCCCTCTCTGAACTGTAAGTACCTTGTGAAAGAGTAGTGTGCTTTTCATTATTTGTCTATGGCTTCTAGTATAGGGCTTTCCACAGAAAAAAATTATTTTTTCAACAGATATTTCATTTTTGGCTACTAATTTAACAACACTTTCTTAAGAAATAAAACAATTTAATTAAAATGATGGGATTCTAATCTCATACTTCTTCCCTAACCTCACTCCTGCAAAAGAATGGGAGTCTGTCTTTTAAATATTAAGCCTTTAGCTGTCTGCTTCTGTGTTTTGAAGATTTCTGGAAGCAACTTAGCTCTTGCCAAATTTCTAAACTTTCCACTCCACTCAATGTACTATTTTTTTTTTTCCTGGAAGACATTTGAGGGAACAGTAAATGAGCCTCAGTGATAAAATCCAATCTTTGATGAAACTCTTCAAACTGTATGTTGAGAGATCCATTGTGGTTTATGAAGTAGGAGCTCAGATAAAACCAAGTATAAAATCTTTCTGCAGTCAAGATTCATCTATCATGATATGTAATCGAATTTAGATTACCAAGCAACCTAAAACTTGCTATAGTATTTTATACTGTTCATCTTGAAAATTCATTTTCTTTCTGGTTTGACAAGACATTAAAATTCAAAAATATTTTTGTATCTGCGCTCCCTTTTTTCAACAAATCAACAAATATTATCAAGTACCTACACATACCCAGTCTTATGTGACACCATTCTTGTCCTTAGCTAGACAACCAAAAGAGAACACACATGTTCTAATCAATAAGTAGTCCTAAACAGAGTTTAGCCGAATCCTTCAATAGTGTAGTACCAGGGATATGTGCTATAAAAGCTCCTAAGAGAGGGGCATTAAATAATAAAGGAAGACCTCCTCTGAAAGTTTAACTAGCTATTATTATATGTGGGCTCTCCCTGGGTGCAGGCTAGAGACTGAGCTCCCAAACCCCAAGGTCAGAACTCTTGAAGAACCACATACAAATGAACAGGACTATCAAGATGGGAAAAGTGACTGGGCACCGTGGCTCATTCCTGTAATCCCGGCACTTTGGGAGCCTGAGGCAGGAGGATAACTTGAGGCCAGGAATTCAAGACCAGCCTGGGCAGCAAAGCGAGACTCTATCTCTACAAAAAAATTAGCCAGGTGTGGTGGTGTGCATCTGTAGTCCCAGCTACTCTGGAGGCTGAGTTGGGGGAGGATTGCTTGAGCCCAGGAGTTCCAGGTTGCAGTGAGCTATGATTGTGCCTCATCACTCCAGCCTGGGTGTCAGAGTGAGATCCTGTCTCAAACACAAAAACAAAAACAAAAAAAGATGGAACAATCCAGCATTAATCTCATTACCATAAACTGGTTATACTGACTTCTTATACTTTCTATTTGTAGATCTTAAGAAGATGAGGCTAAACATCCAATATAGCCAGTTTCTTAATGAGTTGACATTTATACTAATGAAGATCTAAAATTTCTGCTAGATATGCCCCAGATGGGGGTGTATTTAGGTTGTGGTTAGTGGAGCTGCAGGATTCAACAATTAAGGCTCAATTCACTTAAATTTTGCCATATTACAGTAAAAGCAAAGTGCTATTTTGGTACTGAATTTGGCTAGTATCTACTCTCCGTCTAGACATCACTGATGGTATCTCTTTTCTACACCTATGGGTGAAAGAAATTTCTTTCTTTTTTTTTTTTTTTTTT